AGACAGCGCGATACCATTATAGCACGCCAGAAAAGGCTCCACGAGAACGACGCCACCAATGGTACCTAAAGTAGAAAATTGGAACATATCCTCACTCAGAGGAAAAGAAAAAGAATTAGTTGATGAGGCCATAAGATACCAACAAGAAATTGTTGGACTCTCGTCAAGGAAACGCCCAGACCCTGGACTCCTGAACCTCAGTGGATGGAAGCTATTCTACTGAGGCGTCAATATCACGACTCGCGCTCAGGCCGGTGTTGGCGTTCTGGTACAACTCAATCTTGCCGATAGAATCATCGATTGGAAGCCTGACAGCGCAAAGGTGGTTACCCTCCGACTGAAGCTACAACAGGCTAAAACGATTACCTTGGTACAGGTCTATGCGCCCAATTTGGAGGAAGAATATTAGATCTACCTTGAAGAAGTGCAGTATGCTATGTCCGAAGTGCCAAATACAGACTCCCTCATACTGATGGGTGATTTTAATGCGCATGTTTGAGTAGACTCTGAAAACTGGAACGGCGTGATTGGAAATAACGATTCTAGCGATCTCAACAGTAACGGCTTGAAGCTGTTGCGGTTCTGTGCATCAACGGATTGTCCATAATGAATGCCTTCGAGCATCCAAAAGCACATCAGTATACCTGGTGCCGGGAAGTTTGTGCACAGAAGTCGTTGATCGATTTGATAATCATATCGTCTGACTTAAGGTCTCAGTAATGGATGTTCGCGTTAAGAGAGTCGCAGAGCCATCAGCCGATCACCATCTTCTTGTTGGCACGCTGCGCTGTGAGAAATGGTGTTCAATACGAAGATCTGATGGCAAAATCAACCGGAGAATCAAATGGGAAACATTATCTTCGGTGGATACGAGAGCGAAATTTGCTTACAACATCGCACGACCGTTTGAACAGTTCCCAATGATGATAACTGATGTTGAAACGAGTGGTAGCTCTTTAAGAGCGCATACTCGATGCTGCAGATATAAACGAGTTGGCCTGCCGCCTAGAGGTCAGGAAAGATCTTCATGGTAGACACGAGAGGTACAAATGGCAGTTAAAGAGAAGAAAGCAGCGTTCAGGAAATGGATTGGTAACAAGGAGCCATCTACGTGCGGGCGATATGTCGTAGCACGCAAGGCGGCAAAATCCAAAGCTGATTCCTGGGAGAAGTTCGGTGACGTGTTGGAGTCAAAACACTGCAAACAAAGTATTCTGGCAGACCATCGCCGACTCCGAGGTCAAAAGAAGTGCAGTCTCAATCTTGAAGGACAGACCTGGACACCCTCTGATCAAGATGGATGACATTCTTCGGCGATGGAGAGTATACTTTGAGGAACTCCTTAACCCCGCGCAATCGGAAGAAGACTCACCTCTAGAGTAGAAGGGTAAGGATATTACTATCTCTGTAGATGAAATTACACAGGTTGTGAAAAGCTGCTGGAATTGATGAAATCCGCCCTGAGACGCGCAAGGCATCGGGCGAACGAGGCATGTGCTGGCTAACACGTGTCTGTCAAACTGCGATGACTATGGGAAAGACATCAGCGGACTGGAGAACGGGAGTTATTGTACCCGTATTCAAGAAGGGAGAAAACAATGAATGCTCCTATTTTAGGGGCATAATGTCTTTGAGCCTCCCTGGTCAAGACTACTCAATGGCGCTTGAAAGGAGGTTCTGTGAAATATTTGACCTCAAGATCCAAAAAGAGCAGTGTGGCTTCCGGCCCGGTCGAAATACCTCTGACCATATATTTACTCTGCGCCAGATTGTTGAGAAATCGTGGGAATACGCCCGTCCGGTGTACACGTGTTTTGTTGACCTAGCAAAAGCCTATTTCGGGATCCCACGCAACAGTCTGTGGTCATGCCTACGAGCATATGGGATAGATGGCAAGTTGCTAAGGGCAATCCAATCACTGTATTCTGATAGCAGG